AAAACAACCCAATAGCTGGGTTATATTTAACCCAGCATTTTTTTTAGAGTGTAGTAACTTTGTTTATCAACATTTGTAAGACCCTCCCATCAGCATCAGCGTTAAAGCGTCTCACATAAACAGTGCCTAATGAAGTTGATCTGGAGCTGCTAATGCAAGTGTCCATGAAGATGCGCTTCAAGTGGAACCATTAAGATGACATTGTTCGGGGGAACTGAAAGTAAAACTGAAGTATAAGCGGAGGTACCAATAACAATACTCACTACTACAAACAGAAATGTGCTTGCCTGTGTAAACACGCCCTCATAATCCGTTCTTGAACTATAAAGAACCACAACACACTGGCAGTAAACTACACCATCACACTGCAACCACACGAGCCTCGGTGTTTATAATGGGTAGCGTTGCGTTCTCATTTTATAGCGTCGCGTCGCGTCGCCACTGGTCACTGGTGTTACTGCAGATACGTCAAACTTAAGAGAAACGATAAACCTATATGATAGTGTATAACAACAATATATGACAACGAAAAGAGAAATCGCATTTCTTACCATTTCTTAGTGCACTCTACGGTGAGTTCTTGAAAGGACGCGGCAAACTGAAACTTCGACGCTCTTTTGCCAGCGCGCTGAAGTCTCTTCCAAACCGATGTCATGATGACTGCACTTATATTAGACAATTCCTCACAGAAGAGACTGAGGAATTAAAAATACATCGGGGGAATTGCTGTGTCACTTCGCCTACCCCCGATGTTTCAGGGATGGCCGCCGCCTCTTTCACACATGCTCCAAATGTCAAAGTGAAGGCTGCAGAAGATAAGCGCAGACAGATCAGAGGAAACATTCAACCAACCACTTGAGTTGAACCGACACATCCTAAACCCCCTTAGAATGACTGGGAACAGAAATGCTTGCTGGGTCACCAATTTAGCTATATAGTCAATGTATTGATCCAATGTTATATTAAGAAGTATAGCCTTATTTGTCCCTTTAAATTTATATTGTAGATATGGATCGCAGAAAGGACCTAAAGAAAGGGGGGCCACTGGATGAGAAGCGGCATTATTATTGTACCAAATCCTTGTTAATGTACTACATAAAGTCTGTAAAATTGTACATTTTACATCATAGTCTGTGCATTGTAATATTAGAAACAGTGCTACTAGTAGGCAATTAGTTAGATGCCAGATATATTATATATTTTTTATGCTATGACTCTGGATAGGCCTAATTGATTTTTAGAATAGAGATCACGGTTCTCTCACGATTATGAAAACAAAACATTAGACAACCAAACAATATAATATAGGCTCATTTACTTGAGGTTCTGACAAAATGAGTCTATTTATAGCCTAAATGTCTAAAATGTTATAATGAGTCTATTTTAAAAATATTTATTAATTTAACCCTTGTGCGTCAATTAAAAAAAGTTACACATAGGTTCATAGTGGACAAAAATGTCCATGTCAAAAAAACTGTCATAAAAATATGAAGCTTGGGAGCACAGAGTTAAGTTTGGTCTCATTTTAAAGACGACCCATGGCAGATTATTTTTGAATTAAAAAAAGTTTAAAAAGTGAAACCAAAAAAAAAAAAACGTTCTAGATATTTAGGTTTATGAAAATGATTTATGAATGATGTTTTATATAAAATATATATTTTCTGAAACATGTTGAACTCTATACCTGCTAGAAAATCAAAGCCATCAATCTAGACAAGTTGTATTCCAAATTTGAGGTTGATATCTCAAAAAATGAGCTTTCAGTAAGATTTTGTTTGGGTGCAGTACCAAATTTTCCCCATTAGATGCCAGCAAAACTCTGCTGGTGCACACAGTGGTTGGATTTGTGATTTGCAGTAGAGTTTTTCTCTCTCAAATACTACAAGAACACACACGCACACAATTTTTTTTTTATGACACACATACAAACCACACTCTGTCATCCATACCAACACACCCACACAATTATAGCTGCATTATTTATCCAATTGGCTCTATAATATGCAGAAGCAGAAAACAGAAATAAAGCGAGTATTTTCTTTATAGGTCAAACCTGAACAAATGGCACCATCTGGTAAAAAATAAAATTTTAAACAGACCTTTAAAAAACCTTGCCAACAGAATGAAAGCCTATTAACAAAAATTGCATCATTTTACAGTTAAATGGCACTGCGATTAAAAATAGCAGTTTTAATGGGTTTCAATGGGGACATTTTTGTCCTTAAGGTCCTGAGAGGAACAATTTTTTGTACCTAGTGCAAAACAGATTTATTAAAGGAAATGGAAGTGAAATAGTACAATTTCAATAAAAATACACACCTGTGCCAAAATGTATGCAGTTGGCAATAACAAAGGCAAAATTATCAAAAAAACAAAACTGAAAAGGACAAAAATGTCCAAAAGGTCGCACAAGGGTTACATTAATTAAGTTTGTAAAAAAATCTCTATATACGGCCTATAAAATTTTATCCCAATACTTTCGTTATTATTTAATGTTTGCAACACAGAAATGTAGCCTAGACTGTGTAGACTGTTTGTGAAGCTGTTTCTAACATACTGTAGGCTAAAGCTTAGCCCACATGATGAGCGTTGCTCTCTCTGGATCAGCGGCTGCGCGAAAGCACGTTTAAATATTCCGATGTGATTGTAATTTCAAAGGTTTAATAGACATAGCGGAATCATCATCATTTAGGAATAAATAATCAAATTTTGTCGCTTTGCAGCCTGAAATGAAGACGGACAGATTTAGTTTTAACCAGCTGTATTTACAACTTGCTGTATTTACAATTTGCATCTTACAACATCCAAGTGAAAGATATAAAACAAACATATCAGGAAAAAAAAAACAGAATCACTGAATTGGAAAAAGGATCACCCCCTCCTAAAAATGACTAATGACCCTCTCATTGGCACACAGAGCCATTTGACTTTCAACTGTGATCAGCTGTGGTCATTTTGATTAGCTCAGCATGAAAAGAGCTTTTACTGGAGCATTTCAGTCCTTGGTAGTGCAACTGAAGCAAACAATCAACTATGGGTGGCAAGGCACTGTCAAAAGATCTCCGGGATAAAGTTGTGGACAGGCACAAGTCAGGAGATGGATACAAAAAAAATTCAAAGGCTTTAGCAATTCCTAGAAGCACAGTGAAGTCTATTATTTAGAAGTGGAAGGTATATGGTACAACACAGACCCTCCCTGGATCAGAACGTATCTCCAAACTGGATGAAAGAACCGGGAGGAAACTGGTCAGAGAGGTGACCAAGAGCTACAGCAACTCTGAAGCAGCTGCAGGAATTTATGACAAAGAGTGGTCATTGTGTGCATGTGACAAC